TTCAAATAAATTAAAATATAATTAAATAAATTATCAAAATAAATAAGTCTAACAGGATGCTAATAGTATCACTCTTAATAATTCCTTTTGAAAATTCAAACTTTTAAAAAAGACATAATTGTTACATTTTTAATTCAAATTTTAAAGAATAAAATTCCAAAAGTACCCTTCAAATTTAGAAATAATTTTAGAAACTTTTAAATTTAAAATTTTGACTTTTCAAAATGAACATATTTTGGGACAATAAAAAATAAAATAATAGGTTACTAAAATAGGACAGATGGAGTATTATAAATGAAATTATTATTACTATTATAAGTGAATGGTTATTTTGTAAAATAATTAACAAAATAATCATTCTAATATTCTATTTCAATTTTATTTTAAAGTTAATTACTTAAAAGTCATATTTACAAATATTATGATAACTTAGGTTTTATTTAAGATTTTTTGAATCATTAAGTCCTATTTAGTAAAGCTGAGAATATTACCAATTTTTTTTAATTTTTAAAACTAAGAACATTATCAATTTTGCAGGTAATGTTCCAAATAATTGTTTCACTAATTGATAAAAAAAAAAGAGTATGAGATTAAACGTTTTTTATCTTCTACTTATTGGTTTGATTCAACTATTTAATAAAACTGAGAACATTAACAGTTTTTTTTCAGTTTTAAAATTAAAAACATTATCATTTTTAATTTTTTAATTTTTTTTTTTTCTAGTTTTTCCCATCAATGTTTCATCATCATGTTTTTTTATAGACACAATTTTCAGTTTTGCACAAAAAAAAAATTAGTTTTTTAAATTTTTTTTTTCCACATAATTTTTTTTTAGTTTTTTCAATTTAAAAGTTGTTGTTTTAAAGTTTCAAAAATCAAAATAAATGTCAAATCATCATGTTCCTTTATAGATAATTATAAATGATGAACAATTGTTATTTGAAGGGTAATTCCGATTATTAAAAATTTAATGGGACTTGAACGCCAAAAAAAATGTTAGTCAGAATTTAATAGAGTATAAATTTATAAATTAGAATTTGTGTATAAATGTCTCGTTACTTTATTTAGTGAATCAATTATTACTTGAAAGCTTGTTTGGGAAGTTAAGTATTGTGGTTTAGGGTTTATGACAGTCAAACTATATGTCCAAACAAGGAAAGTCCCAAGTACTAATTTTGAAACAAAACTTTGAATCAGATTCCAAAACTCATTTCACAAACGAAACTACTTCTTTTTAGGTGCTTCTGATTGTCTTAAGAAGTTGATAAAAAGTTAATTTTTTATTTTTTTTGACCTTTTTAATGATTTTTTTAACAAAAAAAATTGATTTTTTTTGTGACTTTTTTAAAAGAACTTGATAAAAAGTCAAAAAATTAACCTTTTACCAAGTTCTCAAAAGGCCACAAAGGAAACTACCACTAGGGAGCAACTTGGCCTGCGTGAGTGTGGGTGGGGTTGAGAAGTTGTTTAAGTTTAATTTGAATTGTGTTGAGAGTTGTTCAAATTTGTTTAAATTCGAATTGTAACTCGAAATTATCTATTTAAGCCTGACTTGAATTAGGCTTGAATTGTCTGAATTAGACATAAATTATATTTCTTTAATAGTTTAATTAATTTGTTAAAATTGCTCTATTAATATTTTTTTAATAAAATCATTAATAATATTAATAATAATAATAATAATGTGAGAGAGATAACAATTGAATAATGATGTCCTGCTAACACGGCCTTTATAATTTTCAAATGAGAAGAGAAAAGGTTTTGTGTTATGTTATTTGTGTATATAATTATATTTAATATAATTTATCGATCTAAATTATTTTAATATCATTCCAAATATAATAATTTATATGGATATTTAATATTTTTTTTCATATAGTTATAATTATAATTCGAACTTCATATTGTTTGGGTTATTTGGTGTCTTTATCCAAACATGTTTAAATTTAATTTAGACTTTTAATTTTTTGTCCAAACCCACACTAAATTCAAAAAAAATTTACCTATATTTTAAAAAAATTCAAATTGAATTCGTATTACTCGGATTGAAACTGCCCAAGTTATACATCTACTTACTACTACTTCTTATAAAGATAAATTACAAATACACCCCCTAAGATTTGCTTAAAACACAGATTGCTTCCTGTGATTTAAAGAATTACAAATACCCCCTTATTAAATTTTTTTATTTAACAGAATTAATTAAAAATATGAAATTCATAATTGCTCTCCTATACAATAATAAAATTATCTAAATTATTAATTGAAACATATTTTTAACATCATTAAAAACTGTTAATTAACTTGATAATTTATTAATAAAATGGGTGATTTGTGATGAAATTAGAAACCTCAGGGGTGAAATGTAATTTTTAAAATCACATAGAACGATTTGTATTTTAATCAAATCTCAGAGAATATATTTATAATTTATCCTTCTTATAAGTAAGAGCTATTTTGATAATTTTTCATCCTTTGTTAATTATAATCCTCTCCATTTCTTATTTATAATGAAGAAGTTTCATTAATTTTTCATCCTTTGTTAATTATAATCCTCTCCATTTCTTATTTATAATGAAGAAGTTTCATTTCATCATCTACCGGTAAATGTAATATTTATTTTTAATTTAAATTAATTATAAATTTGCATTCTTATTTGATAACTATTAAATATGAAAGTCACTCATCCCACCCAATACTACAAAGACATTAAAACCTGTCCAAACTAGAAACTCCTAATATTTTTACTTACCATAATTTGATACCAACCCACTCTAAATCTTCATTTGGCATGTTAGACTTTTTTGATTTTTTTTGGTTATTTGAGACATAAAAAGATAAAATAAGTTTTTTAATCTAATAAGAAAAAACATCATATTCAACCCATAATTATTTCTTTTTTTCTCTCATAAAATAAAAGTCAAAAAAGTCTATCCCAAACGAAATTTTTTAACCCAGACTAAAATAACCAAAAAAATTAAAAAACTAATCCACATTCCAAATGAATCCTAAATGAGATTCCCAAAACCCTTCTATTTATAGAGCTTTTTTTTTTTTTTTTTTTTTTTTTTTTTTTTTTTTTTTTTTTTTTTTGGTCTAAACAATTTATAGAGCTTTTGATAATCTCTCGTTCTCAATTCAACTCAACCCGCTCTCTTCAATGACTTTCTCGGAGTAGTGTTACCAACACTACTCAACCCGCCCTTTTGGCTGCCTTCCTCGATCTTCTACAATGCAAAACTGTTTGTCATTCATGGAGGTCTGCAGCGAAGAAACTAATAATCCAAAACATAAAAAAATTCCATTACTTTTACTCTCTTAGACGAACAAAACCACAAGTATATGCCAAACTCTTGAGTACAACCAATCAAAGCCAAAGTACAACCTCAACCACGCTCTACACCAGTCACTCTCCTAATAGCCTAGCTCGAACCCACTGTTCTAGGCTTTATCTCTATAACTTTATCTCAAGATTTTGGGTTTGTTTGGTTTGTATTTCTGAAAAAATTTTGAGAAATTTTCTCTACAAATAAGTTTTTAAAAGTAATCAAACCAAACAAATTTTCCCAAAAAATTTCTCAAAACTTGTAAACCAAACAAGTTTTTCAAACAAATCTTTCTCTCACACGCATCAAATCAATCACTTTTTCCAAAACTCTCTCTCAAAATAATTTTCCAAAACATCTTTTGAAAAAAACTAAACCAAACAACTTTTCGTACTTTTTATCTCTAAAACACATCTCTCAAACACAAACCAAACATACCCTTTATGTTCAGCTTCCACTGTTGTTGGCAAAGAGAACCAACTCGTACCCGCTTTGCTTCATGATGACTGGTAGTCCTGATGATCCTAACTGTTTTGTTTTACTACTTTACAATTGTGTGAGTTCGCGCAACGGGTGCATTTGCAAACCAGGAGATAACAAATGGCGAAAAAACATCGCTAAAATGGGCAGCTACGAGGATGTGATATATTACAATGGAGAACTCTATGCCATCGACAAGCATGCTTAAACCATTGAAGTATGGAGGAGGACCAGCAGGAGGAGATTTCGGGCTATGGCCGTGCACGGGAGTGATCGAGGGAGGTACTTGGTGGAGTCAGATTCCGGGGAGTTGGTCATGGTGGTGAGACAAGTTATTGGGTCATCATCAAGCCCGACCACCGTGTCGCAAGGCTTTTAAATTAAATTGGAGAGAGGGTGTTTGGAAAGAGGTAAATAGCTTTGGGGATCAAGCCCTTCTTTTAGCACATAATGACTTAGTGTTTGACAATGCTGTTGACATATATAGGCCCAACTGTATTTATTTTGTGGATGATTTTGTGGAGCTGATTTCAACTCACAGAGATATGATTATGGAGTTGATGAGTAGGAAAATCATAAGATTGAGAGCTTCTATCAGTTGGAGCATACTGTTGGTGATGCTTTATACAGATGGTTTAGACTACTTTAGACATGGCATATGTAACTAATTATATGATGTTTTATATGTATAGACTACTGGTTTAAATACAAGCTCCGCCGCCAACGCTACTGCTGTCCACTACCACCAGCGCCACCACTATATATTACAGGAACAAATTCAATAAATTAAACTGTTTGATCAGATTTATTTGTCCAATTCATACAATTCAACTTGACCAGCTTAAACTTGTTTATTAAATGAATAGATTTAGATTGAATTATTTTAAATACATAATCCGTTTTTGACTCAACCTCACCCAAACTCCTGGGCATGTTTGAATATCAAATGAGAATACTAGTCTTGTACAACCCTTCCGAATTGTAATTTAAGACATATTTGGTGTAATTTTTCTCAAGTTAAAAGTTAATAATTAAAAAATAAAATCTAAAAACATCCGTACATAGAAACATTTTTTAAAAACTTAATTATTTCTGTCTTAAAAAATTATAAGCAGAAGATGCATTAAAACACACTGGCACACTATCAACAGCCAAAGAAAAAAATTATAAGCACCTCCACCACACAAAACCTTGGTGCAATCTGAGCTCTCAACTTTCTTGCAGCTCAACCCATGTAGATTGACATAAAATGATAACAAGTCTAGTCTTCAATGGGACAAAATAAAAGCCCTAACAACAGAATTTTGTGACAAATTATTTACGAACAGCAGTGGCATGGAGGCTCCATCTTGGAGAAGTTCTAACCATGACAAACTGAGCATAAGTCGAGAAGGAAAACTTGAAGTCTGCATATAAAACCCCTGCATTGCCGATACTAGTGGTATATTCACAATGTTTTTACTTATGGTTGTAATGAAAAAACAGACAGGATATTACAATTTCAACCTTTGTGCTACAAGTTGCACCGGTAACCCTAACCCTAACCGGTCTTGTATATGCTATGAGTATAATGCTGTTTTACAAGTGTTGTTGAGTCTCTATTGGGAGGGTTGTGGCCGGAAGTGCGGACACGGGCTCTCTGGTTCTCCTCGTGTCCACAGATTCTGGAGGTCACCTCTCTTTCTTCCCAATGTCAAAAAGGTGCCTGCATCAATGACAAGCGATGGGGTTTTTTAATTTTTTTTAAAATATATTTTTTGTGTATATGTGTGTCGACCCTGTTTTACAATATGTACACCACAATATAGCAGGTCTTACAAATATCTCTTCAACCATTAAATAGCAGTTCAAGACTATGATAGTTGGCTACACTCATTTTTAAACTCAATTCCAAAATTAGGGTCTTTTTCAACTTATTTCCAAATATACAAGAAAACGTGTTTAGTAATCACATTTTTTAGATCTTCATGCTTTGTTAGATAATGAGAACTCATGATAACTGTAATACTTGCCATGAGAAACGCTTGGAGTGAAAACAAGACCCGACCGACCCCCTGTGAAGGTGGATCTCCCACCAAATACTGACACGAGAATCAAACAAAATATGACTCTTTGGAGCTTGCTTTCAAGATATAAAATATGTCAAATATACTGCTATGGAACCTCATGGAAGCTAGTTGGGTCAATATAAATCTGAAGAAAATGGTCTGCGACTATTCGGTTATGGTGCTTGTGGGTGAGCAAGTCATGTTTTCATAAATGATATTGCCAAATACCTAGAGTAAAAGGAACAATGTAAAGTAGAGCTGGTTGGCCATGTCCATCCATCAAGTTCAGAGCCATATATGTGATGAGGAGACCTAGACATAAGAAATTTCATGAATTATTTGAATATTAGCATAAATATTATAGAACACAGCAATGTGAATCTATAAAAACAAGTGATGCATTAGATGTGGAAGACATCGATATATATATATATACATATTTTGATCAGCAACCAAAAAAAAAAAAGATGTAATATAAATAACTTACAAATTGCACACTACTCTCCAATAAAACCAAATCAAACCAAACCAAACCAAGCCTTAAGTCCCATAAAATGGGATCGGTTACATTAATCTTTCTTCTCCACTCGACTCTATTGAAGACCATTTCGTTAGTCAAATTAAAGAGACTCCTATTTCTATATACTACACTAGCACACATCAATCTAGGTCTGCCCCTTCCCCTAACACTTCCATTTACCATCACTGTATTGCATCTCTTCACTACTGCATTTGTTGGTCTCCTTTGTATATGACTAAACCATCTCAATCTATTCTCTTTCAACTTATTTTCTATTGGTACTATTCTTACCTATTCTTGAATATACTCATTTCTAACTCTGTCTTTTCTAGTCGTGCCACACATCCACCTTAGCAATATCATCTTAGCAATACTCATCTTACCTTACCACTCTCCAATATCTATAAATAAAAAGCAAGGGAATCTCGATAACACCCAAAAAGAGGGCAAGTAACAAACCTCTCAACCCCTCAAACCTAAAGATTCTATTGTTTCTCACCAAATCACCCAAACAATCGTACAGAGAACACAATTCCAAATAACTAAACCCTATCGATATTTTTGTTGTTCATTAAGACGGTTAAAGATTTCTCCCCATACAACAAACTTGATGTATAGTTGAAAAATAGGTGAACAGTAAGAAGGAAACTATAATATCAATTGCCCAACAGATCTGTGTCCCCCTCCCCAATCCGCAGTCTTGCATCGTCTCTTCGTCTCTCCTTCCCCCCTTACAAGTTCCATAATTGGAACAAATTTGAATTTCTTAAACAACTCTGTCTCCACACGCACATTAATTTGCTATTCGAGTACAAAATCTAATCATAGCTCTGTTTGATTAGAAAGAAAATTTGTGAAAAAATTGTGAAAAGTTGAAAGTGGTAGAAAGGAACCATGAAAGAAAAGAAATGGAAAGGAAATGTATAAGTAACCCTTTGCATGGACAAATTTAATTTTTTTTATTTATTTTTTATTTTTTATTTTTTTGTGTTTCTTCTATTTTTTGCAAGAAATTAAAAACTTAGTTACCATGCTAATATGGGTTGTCATGAAAATTTATTTTATTGTAGTTTCCACTCCATCTCTGAAACTACCTTTAAAATGCAGAAGTACAATGCTATGCGTTGAAGTCATAATTGGTTTGTAGCCGCCAAAATAAATTCCTTCGTGTAGCAACACATGTTGGATTGCCTTCTGGCCACATCGGAAGAACAATAAAAGCTGCAAACCTCTCACGTGCTCTAATTTTCTCAGCAATTTTAAGTGCAATTTCCATGGGAATCAAATTGTTCGCACCTGCAGCAAGAAAATATGCTCACAATCAATATTCAGTAAAGGAATTTCAAGCATAAAAGCTCAGGAAAGCATCTATTTATTGTTGTATGAAAGGCCACTTCACTCTCAACTAAAACACGATGTAGCAAATCAGAAGAACTACCTCATCCTATTAAACCCTCCACCGTAAGTAAAGACACAGAAAGAGCATCACTATTTCA